GTCCCTGATCCTTTCCAAAAAACACACCAGGTGAAAACGTGGAGGTGTGAACCTGTCCCATAAGAAATCATGTTAAATGGACTGCTGTGCGTTTCTGCAAAAACAGGAACCGCACAGGTGTGAACCTAAACATAACGTAGATTTTTTCCATTTCAACCCAATTTCTCTCATTCCCATCCTACAACCGCTCCCTTCTGTAACATTTGTATATTATGTTTTATGTAACTACCTTTTTTGCAGACCCCTCAGGACTCCTCTATTCTCGCATATGCAAGCTTGAAGATACAATTGGCCACAGCCTCTCAGGATACATGGTGACAGCGTGATGCATCCCAGGAGGCCGCAGGGGGACTTGACTGCGCATGTACCATGTCGCTACATGAGGGGAGGGCAGCTGTTCTTTTTCTGTTTTTTGTAATTGGCCCTGGGTTTATGTGCTGATGCACATCATCTGGAGGGTGGCTGCAAGAACCCGATAAATACAGCCGGCTCCCTGATGATGTCAAAAGAAAATGGCGGCGCGGGATTCAGTGTGGTGCTGCAGATTCCTAGAGAATACTGCTGGATCACTGGGCATGGGAGTATGTTTTTTTGTGCAGAACCAAACTAGAAGTGAGAGGAGGAAAAAACATGGGGATGAGGAACACATTCCTTTTTAACCACTGTTTTAACCAAATCTCCGGAAGATTTTAACCCCTTCATGACCAATCCATTTTTTTTTGCTATTTAGCATTGCACTATTTTACCTGAAAATTGTGCTGTCATGCAACACTGTACCCAAATTAATCTTAGATAATTTTTTTCACACACTTTCTTTTGGTGGTATATGATCACCACTGGGGTTTTTATTTTTTATTATATAAAATAAAAAAATCTAATTTTTTTGTAAGTTTAGGTCAAATTGTATTCTGCTATATATTTTTTGGGAAAAAAAAATCCCAATATAATTGGTTTGTGTGAAAGTTATAGTGCCTACTAACTATTGGATATATACTGGAATATTTTTTTTTTTATATTAGTTATGGCGGTGATCATAAACTTATAACAGGTCTGTGATACATAGTACGGCGGGCAATACTAATTAACTGACACATTGTGGGAACTGAATGACACTAACATCACCAGTGACACTAATACAGTGATCAGTGCTAATAGTATACACTGACACTGTGCTAATGACACTGGCTGGGAAGAGGGTAACACCTAAGGGCAATTAAAGGGTTAGCTGTTTTGTGGCGCTTTTACTAATGGATGTGCCAGTTTTTATTTTCTGCTTTGCAGGGACAAAAAAAAACTGGCACATCGCTGCTTTCAGTAGAGAGCTTTGTGTTGTTTACCAACTCAGAGCTCTCTTCTGTCACTTGCTCCCCGGCCATAAATCATTGGCTGGGACCTGGTGATTGGCATGTGCTGGAGCCAGCGAAAGCACAGCCCGGTCGGCGGGCATGGGAACCCTCTACCTGGAAATGCAAAATCACATATATATACACATGATTGTGCACAGCTGGTCTGCACTGTAGCAGTAAAACTATAATGCGCGGTTAAGACCTTTAGCCAGTTCTGCACCACCCTATAGCAGAAATACTGCTACAGGACGCAAAATCATGTATATGTGTATATATATATATATATATATATATATATATATATATATATATACACATACACACACACACACATGATTTTGCAGTTCCGGGTAGGGGGTCCCTACCCCGCTGCCATTCGCAGCCTTGGCTGACAAACACTGGCTCCCGGCTGGTGATTACTCGCCGACACACGGTGATCACTGAGTATCTCAGACGTAGGAGAAACCTGTATGTAAACAATATAGATCTCTCCCCTGTCAGCTCCTGCTTCGTATTGCTCAGCCCAAGTAGTGAAACAGCACACAGTTAACCCTTTGATCGCCCCAGATGTTAACCCCTTTATGACCAGTACTATTAGTACAGTGTCAGTGCTTTCTATTAGCACTGATCACTGTATTGGTGTCACTGGGGATGTCACTGACACTAAATCAGTTCCCCCAGTGTCAGAATGCCTGCTGCAGTCCCACTATAAGTCGCTGATTGCCGCCATTAATAGTACAAAAAAAATTAATTCCAGTATATATACTGCCACTTGTAAACGCTATAGCTTTTACGTAAACCAATTAATTTACATGTATTGATCCCAATACATGTAAATGAATTGGTTTACGTAAAAGTTATAGCGTTTACAAATGGTGGTATATATACACAATTTTAAAAATCAAATTTCGTCATAAATTTAGGACAAAATGTATTCTGCTACATGTAGCAGAATACATTTTGGCCTAAATTTATGTTGGAATTTAAAAAAAAATTTTATTGAACATGTTTAATAGCAAAAAATAAAAAAACATTTTTCTCAAAATTGTCAGCCTTTTTTTATTTATAGCGCAAAAAATAAAAAACCGCAGAGGTGATCAAATACCACCAATACAAAACTCTATTTGTGGGGAAAAAAGGACGTAAATTTCATTTGCGTGTAGCGTTGAATGACCATTGTCAGTTAAATTAACGCAGCACCGTATCACAAAAAATAGCCTGGTCAGGAAAGGGGGTAAATCCTCTGGAGGGCAAGTAGTTAAAGCTGAACTATGGGATAAGCAAATATTGTCTAAATAGCCATGTGTTTTCTTCCTTGAATCTTGGTCTGCTTTGTATATTTCTTCCATATCTGTCCAGTAATCCAGTGTGAAACTTTACCTGTGCAGGACCTTCCTGTAATAAAGACGGTCACTGCTGCTCTCTCGCCTTCTGCTGGGTGACGGGTCTGGTCTCTGCCCCCTCCTGTAGTTTTCTGCAGGTGGCCTGTAGTGGGTGGAACCTGCTGGGTCTGTGCTACAGCTCTGCTCTGTGCATAGACTATGGCTATGTACAGCACAGTGATGATGTCAGTTTACAAGGTAATATCTGGTTTGCAAAGGAGTTTGGTGCACACAGTGTATTCATATCCGTTGTGTCTACTGAAGAATACATTTGTATGAAAGCTTTTGTTCAGCTTTAAGTCTGCCTCTTTTAAAATATTTTGCCTCCAGTGCACATGCAATACTGTCTCATCACATTTTCATATTTATTTCTAGTTCACCTAGAAGCTGAAATCTGATTGGCTGTCCTCTGTTTAATTGCTCTGTCCCCTGCATGCATCAGTATTAAACACAGGCTATTGCATCTGATCACATTGTGTTTTTATTCATTTGTGGATCAACATAAATGTCTGCGTTGAATAGATAAAAAGAGTGCTTATCAGTAAAAGGGTAATACTGAGATCTGAAATAATAGGTACTGAGTTCCTTGATGTGAGTTAATGCTCAGCCAGACCATATATTCCTTCATAGCCTTTGCCTTAGGGTCATTATTTACGAAATCAAGCACAAGGCCTGTGATATTCTGTCAACAAGGAATACAGTATCCAAGTGCATAGGAAACCCTTCTAGAGACCGAATTCAATGTGTTTAACCCCCTGTTGTACTTTAGGAAGCTACACTGGGAAAGAAGGTGCTTGAAGGGTAACTTCACTTTTTTGGGAAAAAAAATCAAATAAAAAAATTAATATAGCATACACAGTTGCTGCGCAAATCATAGTTTAATTGAATGTGATTAAAATTACCTTTCCTTTTGTGCAGCACTGTATTTTTCTGTAAATTGTAATGCAATATGGCAACCCAGAGGCATTCTGTACACAGATGGTGTACAGAATGCCCCAAAAATGTCATTCCTGCTTGTGTGATTGGCTTACAGATTTTCTCAGAAGTCTGCACTAAGATATAAGTCAGACTTTGTGCATCCTCTGCAACAAATGTTTCATTTTTGGTGAGACACTCCCACAGGGTTAATACTGTCTAAAGCAGGGGTCCTCGGACTTTTTAAACAGGGGGCCAGTTCACTGTCCCTCAGACCATTGGAGGGCCGGACTATAGTTTAAAAAAAAAAAAAAAAAAACTATGAACAAATGCGGACACAGTACAGGAGATGATCAGAGACTGCGGACATACAACGGCAGCGGGAATACTGGGCCGGCCGCTCCATAAGACGCACAGACATTTCCCTCCAAGTGTGTCTTATGGAGCGAAATAGTGCCCCATCATGGTGTCAGTGGGAGGAATAGTGCCCCATCATTGGTGTCAGTGGGAGGAATCGTGCCCCATCATTAGTGTCATTGGGAGGAATAGTGTCCCATCATTGGTGTCAGTGGGAGGAATAGTGCCCCATCATTAGTGTCATTGGGAGGAATAGTGTCCCATCATTGGTGTCAGTGGGAGGAATAGTGCCCCATCATTAGTGTCAGTGGGAAGAATAGTGCCCCATCTTTGGTGTCAGTGGGAGGAATAGTGCCCCATAATTAATGTCATTGGGGGGAGGAATAGTGCCCTATCGTTGGTGTCAGTGTGGGGGGGGGGGGGGATAGTGCCCCGTCATTGGTGTCAGTGGGAGGAATAGTGCCCCATCATTGGTGTCAGTGGGAAGAATAGTTCCCCATCTTTGGTGTCAGTGGGAGGAATAGTACATCATTGGTGTCAGTGGGGGGGAATAGTGCCCCGTCATTGGTGTCGGGGGGGGGGGGTAGTGTCCCAACATTGGTGTCAGTGGGAGGAATAGTACCCCATCATTTGTGTCAGTGGGGGAAGGAATAGTGTTCCATCGTTGGTGTCAGTGGGGGGTGGAATAGTGCCCCATCGTTGGTGTCAGTGGGGGGGAGGAATAGTGCCCCATCGTTGGTGTCAGTGGGGGGGAGGAATAGTGCCCCATCGTTGGTGTCAGTGGGGGGGGAGGAATAGTGCCCCATCGTTAGTGTCAGTGGGGGGGAGGAATAGTGCCCCATCGTTGGTGTCAGTGGGGGGGAGGAATAGTGCCCCATCGTTAGTGTCAGTGGGGGGGAGGAATAGTGCCCCATCGTTGGTGTCAGTGGGGGGAGGAATAGTGCCCCATAATTGGTGTCAGTGGGAGGAGTATCAGTGACACCAATGATGGGGCACTATTCCTCCCACTGACACCAATGACACTTAACTTGCTGACCCCTGCTCCAGCATGGTGCTGCTGCAGAGAGACTGCGGACATACAACGGCAGCGGGAATACTGGGCCGGCCGCTCCATAAGACGCACAGACATTTCCCTCCAAGTGTGTCTTATGGAGCGAAATAGTGCCCCATCATTGGTGTCAGTGGGAGGAATAGTGCCCCATCATTGGTGTCAGTGGGAGGAATCGTGCCCCATCATTAGTGTCATTGGGAGGAATAGTGTCCCATCATTGGTGTCAGTGGGAGGAATAGTGCCCCATCATTAGTGTCAGTGGGAAGAATAGTGCCCCATCTTTGGTGTCAGTGGGAGGAATAGTGCCCCATAATTAATGTCATTGGGGGGAGGAATAGTGCCCTATCGTTGGTGTCAGTGTGCCCCGTCATTGGTGTCAGTGGGAGGAATAGTGCCCCATCATTGGTGTCAGTGGGAAGAATAGTTCCCCATCTTTGGTGTCAGTGGGAGGAATAGTACATCATTGGTGTCAGTGGGGGGGAATAGTGCCCCGTCATTGGTGTCGGGGGGGGGGGGTAGTGTCCCAACATTGGTGTCAGTGGGGGGTGGAATAGTGCCCCATCGTTGGTGTCAGTGGGGGGGAGGAATAGTGCCCCATCGTTGGTGTCAGTGGGGGGAGGAATAGTGCCCCCATCGTTGGTGTCAGTGGGGGGGAGGAATAGTGCCCCATCGTTAGTGTCAGTGGGGGGGAGGAATAGTGCCCCATCGTTGGTGTCAGTGGGGGGAGGAATAGTGCCCCATAATTGGTGTCAGTGGGAGGAGTATCAGTGACACCAATGATGGGGCACTATTCCTCCCACTGACACCAATGACACTTAACTTGCTGACCCCTGCTCCAGCATGGTGCTGCTGCAGCCAGCATACCTGGTTGCAGCAGCACCACCATCTGCACGGCACACTTACCTGTCAGCTGTCCTTCTTCACTCTGGCCTCTCCCTCACTCGATGTTCGCGGGGGGCCGCTCAGCTCCACCTCCTCGCAGGTGATTGGCCGCCTGTGTGACTTTCCTGAGCTACAGTTCTGGCACCCAATCACCGTGAGGAGGTGGAGCCGAGCGGCAGCGCGAACATTGAGTGAGGGAGTGGCCGAAGTGAATGAAGGAGCAGCGCTTCCTGGACTGGATCCTCGTGGGACTGGGACAGGAGCCAGGTAAGATACAGCAGCCCCCTGCCCGCCCCTGTACTTGGTGTCCCCTTCCTCACGGCAAATACGCCCCTACCGGTGGGCCGGATAAATGGCCTCGGCGGGCCGCATTTGGACCGTAGTTTGAGGACCCCTGGTCTAAAGGGATGTAGGCCCTGCCACTTTCCTTATTAGAACACTGCAAGTGCAACAGCTGATCAATAATCAAAAAGGCACTCCCATTCACTCAGCACTCGGACACAGGCAAACTATTTCTTCAGAATAACACAAGGAAGAAATCTGCAACAAAGTTTGTAAAATCCCTGCAAAGAGCAATGTACATTGATCACCCAGAGGAGAATGTTTTTTTCACAACAAAACTGTAGTTACTCTTTAATATTACTGAGTCCTCCTTTATCAAAAGTGCTCGAAAAAAGAAAGCATGTAAAAAAAACAAACATCGGATACTTCTAATGGTACCAGTATTTTTAAAGATAGGTGTAACTAGCACAATAGTCATTGCACACCAAATAAGATAAGATTTAAAGCTGCACAAAAGAAAATGATCATCTAATAAGATGGATATGTACATGAAAGCTAAAGTTACTTCAAATAAGCTGTCCCAAGAATAGAAGGCAAACCTCACAACCTACTAACCACTGTCTAATAAAAAAAAAAAAAAATATATATATATAGTTTGTTTGTGTCCCCTGATTCTGGATGGTAACTGACATGTAGGCAGGTGTATCAAAATTCAAAGAAGTGCAGCGCTTAAGATAAGTTCCATCAATAAATATATAAAAGTTCAACGAATAGCAATAGATCCTTATAAGGCAGGTATCTCAGTACTTCAAATGCTGGTATAAACAGCTGACCAAAATAGCAGAAATGCGCACTCACCGGAAGCGCATATTAACAGCGCATGTAGTAATAAATGATAGGTGGTGGGCTGCCTCTCTGATCATCAAGCCTTGGAGAGTAGTGAGAATCTGCCTGGTCCAGAGGTCCCCCTTAGGATGGACAGGTATCCTGCTTTTGGAAAGGGCTCCCCTCTCTGGATACTGGATATCACAGGGATTTCCTGCAGATGTAAAAGCTCGCATAGGAGCTCAAAGAACAGGTGCCCAACGGTGTAGTATTTCAGAAAAAATTTATTGAAGCATAAAACAAACATAGGGCAGTATGCATCATATATCAGTTACAAAAAATTGCAATACTGACCCCTTTAAAGATGGCCGCCGAGCCTCCTCATGGCTCCAGCAGCATAAACGTCACGCTCTGTACAGCTCCTCCTTCCTAAGGCCTTTCGTGCTAAAAGCACATCATCAGAGGGTAGGCAGGTGTAGTCTTTTTTATAGAGTGATTCTTAAAAGTATGTTAATCACTAAACCACGACAAATTGATGCTTTTAAATATTCATTATATCCAATCAGCTGCCACTTTAAATACTATGTAAAACTTATTCCAAAAAATACCACTCCTAATATTGGTGATAATTAGCGGTGCATTATATATATGTGTCACATTAATTCCTTTTGATGGTCTCTATGTGCAAACTCATTTACACAAATATTAAGTGACATAAATTATATGTGACAAAAAATAAACAAACAAATTATATATGATATAATAGTGCTCACAAAACACCGTAAAATATAAGTCCAGTGTAATTAATAAATTCCAAAAAAAGTCCAAAAAAATCTTCCACAATGTGAATCCTCTGTGACTCCCAGTGCAGAAATAAATAAACCACGTGCTGTGCTTTTCATACACCCCCTCTTAGGTGTGCACTCACAAGAACATAGCCTTTAATGAGCCTTATTGCATAAATTCCAGAAATCAGGATCATCAGAACACAGCCTTTTTTCCACTTTATACAGACTCCAAATTGTTAAGACCGGGAGGTTCCTCCAATAATCACCCATGATAAGAATGGTAGCCAGGATCATAATATATATTCCTCTCCATAGTTACATAGAAAGAGAAAGAAATTCGCTCCAATCGTTTATTACCAAAGGTAAACAACTTTAATAAGCCAAAATATTGCACTTACAACATTCCAAAAATAGTTGAGCCTTATTTAAAATAGTCTTTCAATGAGACAAATATCACAGGTGCTCTCACCACCTCCGGATCTGCTGGAGAGAAAGCCGTCTCATCACTTCCGATTGCGTATCTGCATCTACGGGTCCACCGCACCGTCAGGGTGTGACTTACTAACGACATTAACAATTTAATAGACTGTGCACTTTGTAAGTGCAGTTGCATTAATTTTCCCCAGAGCTTAGTGAATGAGGTTCAAAGCTCTACTTTTTAAAAAATACCCAGTGAAGTGCAAGAACAAAATAAAAAAAAACAGCATTTTGCTTGAACAGGATTGGATGATGGAAATCAGCAGAACATCACATTCACTAAGCTCTGGAGAAAAAGATTGCAACTGCATTTGAAAAGTGCTCAGTCTATATGCCTTTACTAAATTACCCCTTTGGCATCTACATCTACCAGCAGACTCTGAACATTCAGGCAAATCAAGACCTGTCAGTCTTCTGAGCGGCGTCTAGCAATCTCATTGACGAACGTCTACTTTGCTATTAGTAAATGTGGAATCGCGTCTGGCACATTTTTAGGTGCAATACCGGATATGTTCGCTAGATGGCGCACAAGCGCGGGCTTTGTAGCATTGGCGTTTTTTTGTTAGCAAAAGAGAATACTTAGAATGTAACATAATTAGTACACCTATATTATTTTTTTTTTTTTTTTTTTTTTGCTGTTTCTCCAAAATGATCAGACAACTAATGCATTTACTAATGAATGTCATACATTCTATTTTCAAATGTTAAACATTTTCACACTTATATCTCAAATAATTTGGATAGTTCTAATTTCCCAATATAATGATATATCTTCATTCTCTTTAATCACGTAACTATTCTATGTTAAAGTCAAGTGCAGCGCTATAAATGCATGTGATCAATAATGAACGCATGTAAAAACCAAAAAGTGCAAAGAATTGCAATAATGATGTAAAATGGTAAATGGTGCTAAAATAAGTTCATATAATCATTCCTGAATAATGGAATGTCCTTCGTGTGTGAGAGTACCAACTCAGAGAGTGCCTATGAATGGCACGTGTGGTTTCTCCGTGACGGACAGTAGTGCATGAACTCGTGAAAGATAAACCACCCTTGGGACTGGTCTACACTCACCAGAACAAAAGTATTAATGCGCATGGGTTATACACATCACACATCTGGGGGTGCAGCGGTATGCTGGCAGCTATGGGTTAGTCATCCAGCTCCAGCCATCCATCCATCCATCCATCATCAGTGGGTGCCCAAATGGTCCTGGGGAGGAATTAGCTCAGCCACAGGAGCCAGAAAGGTGCTTAATAGTGTAGTACACTGTCACAAGGGTGGATGACCTTTCACGAGTTCATGCACTACTGTTCGTGGTTATATTTATCTTGTGTAATACCATTTTAGTAGTCTATATAATTTGACCAGCGCTCGCTTTATCATTTTTAAACAATGTAACTATTCTACATTGTAGCTCAAACTGTGTCTCCCACAGTGGTTTAGTGGTTAGAGCTCAGAACTTACAGCACTTGGGTCATGGGTTCTAATCCCAGTCATGGCTGCATCCCAGTTTGCATGCTTTCCCTGTATGGATGTGTTTTGCCAACACTCAAAAGACATGCTGTTAGGTTCATTGGACCTAGTTACATGGCTGAGTTTCTGCCCTTAGATTATAAGCTCCTTGACATTTATGATGAACGTTAAAAAAATGGAGATCAATTTTCTGGGTTGTGTCAGTGCCAGGAATATTGATCAATCAATTATGATTTTGCCTAATGACTAGAAAGTGGATGAATGTTACCTGCGTCCTGTTCTTCTGCCAATTAGGAAATGTGCAAGTTTCATGCTGTGTATATTTCATTGTAACTTTTTTCTCTTCTTTTAAATCTGTCTCCTTATACAACTTGACCCCCTCCCCCACCCCATCATCACCTGTCCCATATGCAAATCTATGGATCACCGCCCCACTCTTTTTAACTATTTACTGATCAAGTGAATGTGTCTCATTTTCTATCAGCTACAGCTCAGATCTCACATTATTATATACGATTGCTGATTGTATATCACCACTAGTCTGATTGAATTCACAATCCCTGGTCAGTCCCGTTCCCTTACCTCTAATAATCTTTAGGACCAGTTCACACTACATGTGTTTCAGTTGCTTTTTCGGCATCACAAACGCACAGAAAGAAGGTTATATGGTTGTCAATGTCATAGTTCACATCAGCGCTTGCATTTTCAGTGCATTGCAGGTGCTGTAAACAAAGTTGACCACGCTGCATTGTTTCTGCACAGAACTGTACTGGAACACATTGAAACGTCCTTGAATGTACTAAAACGCACATGTCCCTAATTAAATTGAATAAAAAGAAAGTAGAAAAAAACTAACTGGAAGGGATACAAAAATGCAATGCAACGTGTCCAAAACGCATCCAAAATGTACTGGAACACACTAAACATGCATGCCAAAAGGGCATGCAAAAACGCATCAGGAACACATCTAGACTGTTTCTATAGTGTGAACTGGCCCTTAGGACTTGTTCACACCATTGGTGGTGCAGAAAC